ATGGAGCCGCACTGAGAATAGTGTTCCGGTTTCCAATCATATTGGATTCTAAGCAGGGAAGTTATACCATCAACAAAGTAGAAAATCTCATCCGAGAGAGTGGAGGTGCTAGTGATTTGCACACAAACTCTAGAAAAGGTTAAACGGGTTTTGGCGGCAGTGAGAGCATCGACAACTAGAGGGATTCCAACAGAACTAGCAAGTTTAGAGATACCTTCCGATGTCCAGCAGGAGAGGGGACATTTCATAAATTTGATCCAAAGGAGAATCGACGGGAACTCTTCACACTTGGAGACAAAATTCAGACTCCACTTTTGAAGAATAAAGGGGTTTTCGAAGAAAAACTAGGGGCCTCCTGTCTAGGAAAGCTCATAATCTTCAATCACTGTAAATTCTAGGAGGAAGAAACCATCATCCATTGTTAGAAGAGAGAAAGTTCCTTTGAGTTGCCATGTCCTTTTGATAACAGATAGCAAAGCCTCGTAGAACGACCTTTTGCCCACTGAATATCAAACAAGAGAGAGTTACCATTCAGGGGCTCCAGCAAGGAATTGATCACTGGTAAATTGGGCTGTGAGATTTTGTGTGGGGACAAAAGCTAGGGAATTAGAAAACTTCGTTGAAACTTGAGGGTTGTGGTTAGAAGATTTTTCGAACCCAACGGATAGACAACAGGAGCGGTGTAGACAGGGGGTAGGATGAAGAGAGGGGGGGGGTGTGGGGACAAAAGCTAGGGAATTACAGAACTCCATTTGAAACTTGAGGGGTTAAGGGGGGGAAGGAGTAAGCCAAAACCTAGGGCGACAAAGAAACCCTACCAGAGCTTGCTGAAAATCACTTGATAAAGCTAATGATTTCAAACCTCTGATCCAAAAAATCACTTCTTCTCTTGTTGGTTGGAAGGCGAAAATTCTATCCTTTGTTGGTTGGATTTAATTTCTCAAATTCACCACAAGCAACACGTTGACTTATTGGAATAGAGATTCTATCTTGCCTAAAGGATGTTGCAAACTCATTAACCTTTTGTGCTCTAGATTCCTGTATTTTGGGGATACTAATATGAGGAAAATCCACACCATCTCCTGGAAAAACACTTGCATTCCCAAAAAAAGTGGTGGACTGGGTATCCCATCCATTGACTACCTTCAGCACAACTTTGCCTGCTCGATGATCAGGAGATTTTTGAATAAAAGCAGCCTTCTTTTTGACTGGTGGAGAGTAAAATATTATTCTTTATAGAACTTGTTGCCTATTAAAAGCTCTGCTTATTGGAGCTACCTTTGCAACAAGGTTGTTTCTATTAAACATTGCCTTACTTTGTTTGTCCACTATAGTAACAATTTATCCTTCTTATGGGACCCTTGGTGGAATGGAAAATCTGTGGTAGATTTATTGAATGAAAGACTGAAGCTACAGGACTTTACCTATATGTCTAATTGGAAAGTTTCTATGGTTATCAATGATAGAAATTGGACATTTCCTAATAGTTTTGATGTTTCT